CATATTTTAATGGCAGACTTCAGCGAAAGGAGGAAGTATGTACCCAGAGGCAACACCCATGGATGGTGCAGGCCATGCTGGAAGAAATACCAAGAATGATGTAAAAGAAGGATGGAATCAAGAAGCTCACTGAAGGCATCCCAATGGTCATCCATCTGCTGCGCATCATCTTCCCTAAGATCCCAGATCAGAGCCTGCCAGCCTAATTGTGGGATGTCTGTAAGTTTGTGTGCATGGGGGGGGGATAATTGATTATAGAAATTGTTAAAAAAAAATCTATTGCTGCTTGATTTTTCTATGGTCTCATTATCTACTATTGCACAAGGGCTGCATAGAGTGATCTGATGTCAGGCGGCATCAAATAAACCTAAACCTCTCGGCATGGGTGCCCAAGTGCAGCTGCCCCTACATTTTGGTATAGAAAGCAAGGACACTCAGGGACACTCCTAGAATTGTATAACAGTGTCCAAAGTTTCTCAGCGTTAGTTCTTCCAGTGAACAGTTTGTTTTCCCTTCATCAAGAAATGAATAATTCTTCTTACGGTCCTTCTCAACAGTCTTCTTCAACACCAGAATTCAGAGGCATCCATTGTTCTTCATTCAACCTTTCTGAGGGCCCAGCTTTCATAGCCACATGTTACAACTCAAAAAACCATGGCCTTGACAATATATATCTTTGCTTTCAGTGTGATCTCTGCACATTAATGTATATCACAGTTTTTCTCCCGAACAGCAGACAGCTATTTATTTGATGGCTACAGTCACCATCCATATGAATTGCTGAGCCTAAGATGATAAAGTCTGTTACTACAGCTTTTCTCTTCCTCTTTGCATTGGGCTGGCATTGCCTGTTGACACAATCTTAGTGTTTGTTTTTTTAATATCGAACAGCAGGCTGGCTTTTATACTCTCTTCTTTCACCTTCAACAAGAAATTCCTTGAGTCTCCCTCCTTTCCAGCCATTTAAATGGTATCATCAGCATATCTGAGGTTACTGATATTTTCCCCAGCATCTTTAAATCTGATTTCTTCTAATTCAGCAATTCTTGTGATTTATTCTGGATATAAGACAAATAAGGACACAATATACAACTTTGTGCAATTGTTCAGTAGTTTGAGTATCCTTTAGCACTGCCCATTTTTGGTACAGGAATATAAACTGATGCTATGTTTTCCATACCAGCTTACAACTACACGAGGCACTTTAACTGCATCATTTTATAAGATTCTAAACTGTCCTGCTCCTGCTGGTGTTTCATCAACCTCTGCATCTTTGTTGTTAACATTTTCTAGGGTCCATTTAACTTCACTATCCAGAATGTCTAGAAAGTTCAGTGACCAAACCTACCTACCTACCTACCTACCTATCTTCCTTCCTATATATATATATATGTGTGTGTGTGTGTGTGTATTATATATACATATACATATTTCTGCAGTCTTTTTGATACAGTTTTTCAAATTATTTGTGCTATCTCTTCTTTATTTCTTTGTTCTCCAATAGATCTTTGCATTCTCTTTTACCGTGCCTACTTTTGCATAAAAGTTTCCTTGATTTCTGTAATTTTCTTAAATAAATCTCGTTTTTTGTTGATCTAACTTTCTAAGAAATTGTGATTTGAGCCACAGTCAGCACTATGATTAGTTTTTGTTGGCTGAATAGAACTTCTCCACCTTTTGCTTATATATTGTTAGTTTGATTTCAGTATTGTCCATCTGAAGGTGACCATATGTAGAGTCATCTTCTATGCTGTTGGTGGAAGATAAACATTGATAAACATTGACTCTTCTTTGTAGAACCTTATTACTGTACTCAGCTTCCTGCTTTGTTTCATACATCAATGCCAATGTTTTTCTGTTATTGCAGATTCTACTTTATTTGCAACTTTGACCTTTCAGTCTCTTATAATTTTTTGTTTTGTTTGTTTTGTTGACAAGGAGTTGCAGGTTTTGATAGATCTGTTCCCCTTCCACTTCTTTGGCATCTGTGGTTGGAGCAGAGACTTCGATGACTGTGATACTGACTGGCTTTCCTTGGATTCAGATTGAAAGTAAAATAAAAATTAACTGCTCTCAAAGGTTATTTTCTACTTCCTAAGGTTTGAAAGCATCCTTATAGCATTACTTTTCTCTTTCCATTCCATTGTATTGTCTGGAACCCAGAGTGGGATATTGAGGAATATTCTCTTTAAAGGTTCATTCAATTTTTTTTCCCATTGAATTCCTTCATAAAGATAAGATCTACTTCAGAGAAAGATTCTCAGCTGAATAAATTACAACCAGAATTTTACATTTCTTGATGACATTTTTAAAAAACATCTTGTCTATGAATTTTTCTATGGTAATCAGTGATTAAGGACTTTTTAAAATTATATCTTGTTTTTGCCTATTGTATTATGAATGAATGTTGTGGCTATTTTTATACAATCTCTTGTCAGTCAAATTATATAATTTATTCTAGGAAAAACTGTAAATAAATAAGAACTGTAAGGAAGGCACATGGAAAACTCACTGAAAGTCAGTCTAATCGACTCTCCTGGGGTTCTAGAAAGCTCTTAAAACCTAGGTCAGCTCCCAGTTAATGTTTTTGTGGGGGCCCTGCCATGTTTTTATTGTTGTGGTTGTTTTTAGTCTGGGCTATCTCATTTGGTTTTATGTTTTTGACTCTTTTAACTGTGGATTTTATAAAATTGGATTTTATAAGCCACCCAGAATCTACTGGAGTGGGCGGCCCTAACCAATTTAATAAATAAATAATGTTGTTTTGACAACAATTAAAGTACTGAATGGGAAAGTAACATATTAATGCCATTATTAAGGGGAGAAGTCAGATGTCCTTTAGCTATTTTGAACCATATTCAGTCTATACAATGAGTTCTGTTAAATGGGATAATGGGATTTGTAGTTTATAATACCTGAAAGGTTACAGGCTGCCTACTTGTTCTCTATAGATTTAATGGGTAGACAAAAATTTTTATTGTAAATGTGTACTATTATCAATGTGAGCTAGCTATAGCCATTTTATTTGCCCAATATCTCATTTATCCAAGATTTTGAAATTTACCTTGCAAATAGATATTTTTCACTCTGATTAAGCTCTGAAACCATGATCTGGAACACAACACATCAAACCATGGCTGGGTCATCTTTGTATATCATGGCATTGCACAGGTTATATTCATCTGATTTCATCAGATGCAAAAATCAACAAAAAGTGTAGCAAACAAAGGCAAACAAAGGCACAAATGTTACATTTCTACACTGCACTCAAAAGCAGTCTGAGGAAGCTAACAGTCATGTTTGCAGGGTATGTTTTTGCTATAAAGTAATTGTGAGGAGAAAACAGAGGAGACGTTTGAAAAAAAATAGTGAAAAAGACATTTATTGGTATTTTGAAAAATATTCCCTAGGATTCCAGCACTGCACAGTTATACAATTTCAGTTTGAAATTCATATTTGGAAGATTAACCATTGATTAATCAACTCTAACACAAAAGTACTGCATTTTGTTTTTCTGTAGGGAACAGAAGATCTTCTTTGTAAGCTGAAATTTACATTCAATTACTTGTTTTTAAACTTCATTCACATAGCAAAGTGCTTTTTCAAAAGTAATGTTCTGTCTTGATTTGTTATTCTAGTGGGCTTAGGTGAGATGTTGATATTTTAGCTAAAGTGCAATTCGGGCACAGTAATATTTTAACTTGCAAGGAAGGATTCCTTTATTGAGTTGGTAGAACTCCACGAGTTGAATAAGATCAGAGAATCTGGTGTGACCATCATCCAATGTATAAAAGAGTTTGCCTTCCTCTTCTAACTGCAAACAGAGAGAGAGAGAGAGAGAGAACCCATAATCTATAATGAACTGTATTCAATAGGACTTACTTTTCAATAGCCAATTAACTAGGAGTAGCCTGCTATTATTGATACATATGGCAGCAGGATCTTGGGTTTATTTAATAAAACATTCCTCTGTCCCATATGAATCTTATTTATCCATCATCTCTCAAGAAACAAGTTCTGTGAAATATGGACTGTATCTTTGAAGATCCAAAGCACATAGGAAGAAAAAGCTAGAATGATAGTCCCGTGTAGTCTTTTTGGGATATATGTCAAAGCTGATGCCAAAGTCATAATGAGAAGTTATAGCTCATGGTTTTGGGATGCAATTTTCATAAAGGAGTTGGTTGGAAACTTCTCTCTCATAGAAAAGTGCAAAACAATGGGATTTGGTTATTATAAACAGAACATCAAAAGATTTGATTCAGCATCTTAATGGCTATACTTACTGGCACAATTTGGAAGTGCTTTATTTTTAATCCATGGCTTAATGACAACACAAAAGTTTTGGGATTGCTTTGACTATCCCGCACCAAGAAAACTCTATGGAAGAAAGAAAAAATATGATCAAGTATATTTAGTTTTGGTAGTGAAATAAGAAGTTATGTCCATAAATAATGGCATTCTGGTGCTAGCACAGAAATTATAAATATTTCTGGATTACAGACACTTTATTTTACCTGTTTATTTTTTCAAAGCTCACACAATTAACATTGCTTTAATTGCTATATTCCAGGCTTGGCCTGGAGTCATGTGTTACAGCATCCAGGATGAAGTTAAGCAGGTCTGGATCAGCAAATGGGAGATTTGCCAAGTGAGTTTAAGGTATGGAGCTTTAAATTATATCATGGACAAAGAGGAAATAAGAATGTGACAAATACAGTACATCGTATATGCTATTATATCCACAAAAAGCGCAAGATGGATGACAAAGATAAAAGGTCCCCAAATGAACATAGTAAACAGCTTCAAAAACCAGCAATATAACCAACAGCAAAAATGTCTCTACAAATTTTCTAATGAACAAAGGCACTAGGCAAGGGTGCCCACTTTCTCCCTTATTATCTGTGATTGCTTTAGAAGTCTTGATGGACAAGATTTGGACATATTTGGGGTTAAAATTCCGGGAGAGGGATAAGAGTTGAAATGCTATGCAGATGATGTAGTACTAAGCATTATGCAAACACAAAGCTCTATAAGAGCTGATGAAAACAATCAAAAGAGTTTGGTGAATTCTCTGGAGACAAACTCAATGAAAAGGAAACAAAATAATAACAAGATATTTAACTCCAGATGAAAAAGACCTTGTTTTTAAAAAAAAGAGTCTGGTTGTGAGACAACAAAAAATCCAGTGAAATACTTGGGATTTTATCTGATACGATGCAATAAAGACATATTTCAGAACAATTACAATAAATTATAGGAAAAATATCTTGAAAGGTAGAAGAACCTAAAACTTTCTTGGCTAGGTCTTATCGTGACAATAAAAATGAACATACTGCCCAAGATGAACTTTTTATTTCAAATGGCACCAGTTCCAATCTCAATCAAAATCTTGCAGGATCAGCAAAGAAGAATAAAGAGATTTTTATGGAATAGGGAAAAATAACAAGAGTCGGATTTAACATTTGCAAGATTTGGAAGAAAGATGTGACCTTGCATTTCCTAACTTTAAATTATATTACCATGCTAGCTGTCTATCATGCATAACATAGTGGATAAAATCCCCAAATAGTAGAATATTAATAATAGGAGGAGCTGATTTAGCAATGGACTTCATGGGTACTTATGGTATAAGGAAACAATTTGAAGAAAATAATTTGAAAGGACATATCAAGATCAAGTTTGATAAAAATATGGAATCTTTAAAAACAAGAATAAGTCTGACAACCTCACCATTAGCTTCACTGTCAAATGCCTTTTACTCTAAGGACAACAATAAGATTTAATCAGATATGCCAATATGGTTCATTCAGACTCAGGAAACAGACTAAAGGCACTGTAAGACCTGCTCAGTGGATGTACAAATTTACCATGGCTGGTGAACTTACAAATTGCCGGGAGAATAAAAAGTGATCTCAGGAAAGAAGGAGGAACTTTTGTATAAGGGTTTCAAAATCTGCCATCTTTCTCCAAGATCACCTATTAGGTTATACATATACATACTGTATATATTGAAACATGTATATATTGAAACATGACACAGAGACTGAACAAATTAAAAATGGTACGATAAAGTGGATGCAAAACTTCAAAATTAATAACATTTACTCTAAGTAAATTGGGATAAATGTTTTATGGATGGTATATAACTCTATCAGTAATTACCAAGATAGATAAATCATATAACAGTAAATGTTGGAAATGCCCTAAAAAAGAAGGAAATTTTATCACATGTGGTGGTTGGGGGGGGGGGAAGCCCTCAAAGGTACTGGAAAAAAATACATCAAAATATTCAGAAAATCCTAAAAATAAAATTTGAACTGACGCCACAAATATTCTTATTAGGTATAATTCCCGAAAACATAAATGAAAAACATTACAATTGACTAAGATACAAATCTGGCACAATGTTGGAAAAGAGGAATTTTGCTGACAATATTAGATTGGGAAACCATCATTGGAGAATATGCAGCAATGGCAAAATTGACAGTATATCCATAATAGAAGTCTAACCAAAATTAAGCAAAAATGTCTCCCATATATGCTACACAGCAGGGCAAATATAGACATTTGGAATATAGTATGGCTTTAGGAAGAAAGTTATGAAACTGATCAAAAATAATAGATTAAAGGATTCAAATAGATGCTAGCAATAATCTTCAATGTTTAATGTAAAGTATATAAATCTAGGTTATGGCCAGTGGTTGGGGAAATAAACAGAAGGAAAGGGGAGAATGTCTTACTAGAAAGTTTTCCCAAAATGTTTTTATTTATATTTTATTCAAGCTTAGTAGTTGTTACTTTTTGTGTCATTCAACTATTATTATCCAATAGAGACCTTTCTTTTTCTTTGCAGGAAAGAGAGAAACAAAACAGCAATATTTAAAAATGTGCCTCTATAAATCAACTATGTCACTGATAAACATATATATATTATGTTTATCCCAACAATGTTAATCACTTCTGGCATTTCTTTATAAAAGCAGAATGAAGTGCCCATCTCAGGAACCAGATGTTGGAGAAGAGGCAGGGAGCCACAGAGACCTCTTCAGAGAAGAGAACTCTGTGCATGATAAGGATGTTACCTCTATCCCAGTATGGTAGACTTCCAGCAGATTAGATAACACCTTAAAGCAGATTTGAAACCCTCAGTTGAGGCCCGCATTCAAACGAGGACAATCCACTAAGGGCTGCATGGCTGGAACAGATGGTCATCCCCATTGTCTATTTTGCCCTCTTCTTCCTCTCCTCCTGCTGGTCGACTGTCGGGGGCTTGAACTGATTCTCTGTGGAAGCTTCTAAAATTAGGCCAAAGCCTTCTGAAAACAAGCTAAGAGGTGCTTCAGATACAGATAGCCACCCTTACTGAGCTACCATTACTTCATGTTCGTTTGTTTGATTGAATTGATTTTTAAGACTACCAACTCATTGGTGACTTTGGCATCTTACAGAGGATTAAAACCACCACCACCACCATTAAAAGAACTCAAGGATGCTGGGAAGAATAAATCAATCTATGACATTGCTAGTGGTGCTTAGTGGGAACGCATATGAAACTAACTCAGAATCTACTGTCAGAGTCAGGGCTTAAGTTCCTCCCCGAAGACCAGCAGAGTCAGGGCCACATGGACCCTGGAGGAGATACTATTCCATAGGGTAGGTAAGTGGAGCAACATGAGCAATCAGTCATGAAATATAATTGTCAAGGGAAAAAACTTACCCATCCACCAATCCTTGCCTCAGAATCAGTTGATGTGCATCTTCTCTAGAAATCTTATGATGAAACCATGGCTGTGAACTGTGTATTGCTAAAAACAGAGTTGTAGATCAAGTCTGTCTCATACGATTTTAGGGTAAGGTAATGCGCCTTTACATTCTGCTTCAAATATCTGGGGATTATTTTCCACAGTTCTGGCTCCTGCAAAGAGTGTGTCAAACCCCTAGCCCAAAGTGCCCAACAGTGTTGCAGTAATTCTGGGCTTTTTTCATGCCAGAGAGGTCCATTTTATTCCAGCAGCCTAAAAGCTTTTTGATTCAAAAGCCCTAGCACATATCTTACATGAACTTACCTTGGGTCACACCCCTAATCTGAATTAATCCAGTCAACATTCTTAAAGGCTATCTTTTAAATTAAAAATTGTATTCCCAATGTTATTTTGCAACTTGAGGCTGGATTTTTGAGCTAGAGTTGAAGATCTCTATCAAATCATGACCAATTGGCCAAACTTTAAATTGACCCCTTTGGGTTTGGCTCCTTTCAGTCTAAGAAGCCTGAGTATCCCCCTAAACCAGGGTTCTCCAGTGGTCAATATCAACCCCCAAGGGTCAATGGGACTATCTATTATTGTTATTATTTGCTGTACTATCAGTTAAAGTAGCATTTATTAAATTATTCTCATATAATAAATGTTTGGGGGTTGATGAACAATCTGAAACTTCACGAAGGGATCAATGAGCTGAAGAGTTTAGGGACCCCTGCCCTAAACAATGTATTTTATAAAGATATGCACCATTCTCTCATTGCCTTGCTTCTATGGTCCTCCCAAGAATTTTTTTGCTTGCCCAGAAACAGAGGTATCTGCAGAAACCTTTTGCCAAAACGGCAAAAGCAACATTGCACTATAAGTTCCACATCATGACACACATATAAAAGGGGCAGCATTTGCATGCAGGGCTGTCCCTTGATAGGCACAAATCAATCTCCATAATCTCTTTTAACAACGAAACTGAGATAAACTTGTTTCATGATTTCATTTTGTGAATATATATATGTCTGTGTATGATGGATGAATTCATGACTTCACATGCTACAAGATTCATCAGTGGCGCATACCTGCAGCTGAGGGAACACTTTGCAAAGTGCTGGGACTGCTGTGTGTACCAAGACGTAAGCTCCCTTTTTTCTACATGAAAAGAAAGAAAAAGTACTCAATTTTTGAACAAGAAACCTAAAATTAAGAATGGCTTTAAATGAAGTTTCCATACCCGCCATGCTAAACCTTCTTCAACTGCAACTGATAGGGCTTCTGTGGGGCTTTCAATAATTCTGGATTTATTCCCTGTGAAGTCCATAGCCACAAGAGAATTCTCTGAAACACTTCTCTATAGGATAAAAAATGTGTTAATTGCATCTAACCAAAATATTTTACAGTATACCCTTGATTATTCTCAGACAATATCAACATAGGATCTATTGATTAGCCAGCAAAAAAGTAAAAATAAAGGCATCTTTTCAGAAGAGGGTGGCTCATAAACAATATACAGTGGGGCAAAAAAGTATTTAGTCAGCCACCAATTGTGCAAGTTCTCCCACTTAAAAAGATGAGAGA